GATTCACGGGTTCACTCCAAAAAATCCTCGAGCAGTGAAGCCACCAGATCACTACATAGAGTTCATGCGCTTGAATGGATGGTTGGATGTGAACTTAAATGATCCAGATCTAGCCCATTTGTTGAAGTAGACAAGCTTCTAAAAGATGGAGGTAGGACTGATCTTTCCTGGCCTCAGTTATGAGATTATATAAGTTGACCATGACCATATTCGATATTTTGAATGATGAGAACATATGGCCTTTATATAAATATCCAGAGCAATATAGGATGCTACTGATGTTGATTAATATATCTCTTGATATAAACATATAGATGCACAAATTTGATTTTATTATCCTTTTAATATTTGTTGGAGAATATTTAAGTACTGTAGTTATTTTAAATTTAGAAATGGTGAATATTTAATAAAAGAAAAATGATGAATATCACACCAGGAACAACATAATGGAATTTTAGCATTGGGTTTTGTACATAATGGAGACAATTGGATGGATCTAGAGCCTTTGAAGGTAAATTAGACAAACATAACTACATTATAATAATAAAAGTTTGGTCTGTTTATTCAGCATTCATTTGAAATTATTTGAAAATGTATTTGACGATGCCAGGAATGAGTGTTCATGAAGTAATCATCCCAGTTGATGCACTTAGGATCAAAGAAGAAACCGTCTGTCTCCACACAACTCTCCTTAGCCGCCATTCCCAAATTCTGTGTTCTTGTCATCAAACCTGCAAATATGAAATTCCAAAACATAAAATTAAAAGCTTATATATATATATATGCTTACACTCCGTTGAAGAACAAATATGGTCTATAGATTTCTACCAACCGCATTATGACAGTAATCTTCCGGTTAAGATCAGTATATGTGGTTTGAAAGTACTTGCAAAATGCCGTATTTGCCACTTGTAGTCCCTGCAAATATATAAAAATACTCTACCTTAATTAGTCAATCCATTCAAATTAGTAATATATGAAATAATTATTAAAAGAACCTTCAGATGTAGTAATATAATTTAAACTAATTTAGTGTTTTTTTCTGCCGACTATTATGAACATGTAATATCATAAAAACATGTTCACTAAACCTTAAAAATTACAGAAATGGGACTGATACAGCAAATTAAAAAAAAAAAAAGAACTAAAACTCAACTTGAAAAGCATATATGAATTTGATAACAAATTAGACTATAAATAGGTATTAGAATAAGTAACCAACTAAACCATATTTCTTATAAAACATGAAACAATAATCCCACTAACATAAACTAAAATACTAAAACTTAGGAACAATTAATGCATTAATCATAAAAATTTCTAATAAATAAAATATCTTCAACAAATTACTAAAAGTTACTATTAACACTCTCCCTTAAACTGATATCTACAGAAATTAGTTTAAAAGTTAACTTATATAATAACTTCAGTTAAGCTAAACTAGGTCTTGAGCAACTTCCGTTGATGAGTATACTCTAAGCATTCTTCGAAACTTAATAAACATGGCTTGCTTGAGCGGTTTAGTCACAATATTTGCTACTTGATCTTAACTTCTACAAAACTTCAAATCAATTGTTTTATTGTTGCAAAGATCACAAAGAAAATAGAACCTAACTTCAATATGCTTGTTTCTTTCATGTTAAGTTGGATTTTTGGAAAGTTTGATTATTGAAACATTCCCATAAAAGATTGTTGTTTAACCTTGCTGCTGGATATAGAGTGTTTCAAGCAATCTTCTTAACCAAATAGCTGGACATGAATATATTGTTGTTGCAATGAACTTTGGCTCCATATTGGATAAAGTAATAGTAAGTTGTTTCTCGATGATAATGATATAGCTCTAAAACCAATCAGAAAAAAAAAATTTAGATGTACTATTCAAGTCACCTGTAAAATCACTATAGGAGCATCAAATCAATTTTTTTTTTGTGGAGGTTTTAGCTGCACAAAGAATTTTAAAATTAATAATGTCTTTTGAAGTAATGAAAAATTCTTTTTGCAGCAAAGAGATGATTCTCAGTTGAATTCTTCATGTATCGACTAATTAAATTAAGACCATATATGATGTCGGTTTTGAAGTTAGATACACCAAACTTCCAACAATTTTGTATAAGGTGGCATTTATCTTCTTCCCTCCTTTATCTTTCATTAGTTGGAGTACAAATTGCATTATTATCATTCATTCTGAACCTGTCCAAAATCTCAAAAATATAATTCTTTTATGAAACAAAAATACCAGCTAGTGATTGCATAACTTTAAGACTGAGAAAATAATCCATCACTCCCAAAAGACTCATATTAAATTCATTCATCATATTCTTTTTAAATGCATCAATCATGACTTTAGCATTTCTAATATATATCAAGTCATCAACATATAAATATATAACAAACATTCAACCATTATTACCAAGTTTTGTATAAAGAATATATTTATGAGGACATTTTAAAGACCTTTTTTAGCAAACTAGGCATCTATCCCACTATGCTCTTGGAGCTTGCTTTAGTCTTTAAAAAATCTTTCTTAATTTGTAGACCTTTTTCTCACTATCTTTCTTCATATATCCAAGGTGTAACATTCCAAATAATAATTAAGGCATAAGGGTGCCAGATACATAAATAAATTACGAGTGCGTGATATATAATTATATGCAGCGGAGTAAATTATTACAAATCTTTTACCAAAATATATGAATTCCAATTATACATATATAACTGAGGACAAAAGTAACAATAAAATATAAAATATAAAATATCCAAATACAAAAATGACCACTTCTTACTGTGAATGGACTCATTAGAGTGCGAGACAAGTCATGCACTCAACGTTTATAGATCAATGGAATCTTCATACTTTAAGGAGTAGGTCAGTAATCGGTTCCTCACTATCTTCCTCATATGGGGGGAAGAACGTGGAAATGAGTGAGTTCCATATACTCAGTAACAAAAATAATATTTAAATAACATCATAAGATTTTAAAAGTAAATAATTATGTTATCAACACTTACCATCAAGGGTCACGTAAATGTCATTTTTTACTTTATTAAAATAATTTATTTATTAATTTGTTCAAATGAAGTGAAGTTTATTTGATAAAGCATGTTATAAGATTTTATAGGCACTTGGTGATTTGCATGTGATCTAAATAACAAGATCTTGGTAACAATTTTTTGAAGTACGAAAAAGGAGAATAAGCATGAAATGGTACAAAAAACATGTATATATATTTACATGCATAATGCATCAAGTGTCTCAGTATGATTTTTATCTCTGAGGAATTTTTATTTCTTCCTTCCTCATTTGGTCTGTAAAGACATGAGAGGACCCCTTTATGGATGACGGCATACTTTCTGACGAGAGTGGTGACACAAATATCTGTTAGGGGTCATATTTGGCTAAATACTATCGTGGCTATAGAATATCTAATAGGACCACTGTGGTTGGCATGACCGTAGTCATAGATTGTGTTATAATTTGGTAAGTCAAAAATGTGTCGTGAGCAAATTGTCGTTATATATCTGATCTACTTGAATAGTCAAAAATCCGTATCTACTCTCAGTAGATAGAAGTTGGAACGACTTTGCGAAGTATAATACGAAAATTTGAGCATTTCATGGTTTATTTGATTTTCTCTATTATCAGTATGATTGATTTAATTGTTATGATTATGATATTATGGATATGATATTTCAAGCTTCTAGAAATGCTCCTTAAGATGTAGAAGAAATACTAAGTTTCTTACCGAAATCTTGAAGTTTTCTTACACCTTTTTTCTTCTTCTTCTCTCATTCTCTTTCCAGATCACTTCCTCTCTCTCTAAGCTCTTGGAGGATGGAAGAATGAAATAAAAGTGATGGGGAAAAATGGAAGCAATGGGTCCCTATTTATAGAAAATGGGGATTATTAGATTTGTATTAAGTGGCAAAATCTAGTGAAGAGAGAGAAAGTTGAGTGAAAAAAGAGTGATTCGACACGACGCAATGGCGGTGCGAAAAATAGAGGAAGAACCTCTCAACCGACGGCGGCTCACCACCCAAGGTAGCGACGGCACACCGTCAAAGGCGGTACACAACACCCAAGGGACGATGACGCACTGCCCGAGGCAGCAACACACCTCCCTAAGTCGGTCGCTAGCTGCAAGCCTAGCCTGTAGGCACGCCAACCTATCCTACCATGCACAGGGCCTACAGTGCGCAGGGAGTTGCGTGTAGGCCTATTGCATGCAAGCCCATGTGCGCAGGCCTACCACGTAGGCTTATTGCGCGTAGACCCATGCGCGCAAGCCTACCGCGTAGGCCTATTATGCATAATAGGCCCATGCACGCAGGCCCATGCGCGTAGGCCTCATTTGTAGACGACGTGCGCACATGACGCATGATACCTGGCCCTATCCGCACGAGATGTTACGCACGTGGACTGTCTTGTCTGCGTACACGTAGACCAACCTCGTGCCCTACGTAGATGGGACGTGTGCACAGTGTGCACGTCCTGTGCTAGCCACGTGTTCACGCACATGCACATGACGTGCGATGCTCGCGCGGACGAGTCTTTCCCACGGGCGTTTTTCCGCGGGATTTTGCCCATTTTTCCTTCTTTTCTCTTAAAAAGGTTATTTTTAATAAAAATTACAAATAATAAAATAAATTTGAAAAAAATAAAAAAATTAGAATAAAATTAAAATAACGAATTAAATTACAAAATAAGGCATAAATTTATAAGATAAAATTTAAATAAGTTCAAGTAAACTTAGGACCCGGATAAATAGAGATTTACATATACAAATTTAGTAGGAAGGTGGCAGGGTGTTACACAAGGGGGCTGGTCAACATATATTGATAGATAGACCAAGAATTTTGGACAATTATGGAAAACACCAATGGAATTATATCTAACCTTGTAACTGGAAAAAATACTTCCTTATAGTCAACTCCAAATTCTTATCTGTATCCCTTCATAACAAGTCGTGCCTTGTAGTTGTCTATGCTTACCATCATTGTTTAGCTTTGTTTTATAAATCCATTTAACTCCAATATATTTTTGCCCATTCTAAAGATCTACCGATTTTGATGTATTTCTTTTTTATGGATTTGATCTCCTCATCTGTAGAATTTTGCCAGTTTGAATCTTTAATAGCTTTTAAATATAAAGGGATCACAATATGCAAATAATGAAAAATGGCTGAGTAGATCTTCAGATTGATCAATTTTAGTTACCTTGTAATTTGACATCCATGCTGGCTTTCTTCAAAATCAATGAGGATGTGAACTAGCTACTATTGCATTTTGCTCATCCATAGTTCATTCATTTTGGGCATTTTCAGAGGCAACATTTATTAGAACATGCTGCTGTTGGGGTTGATTTGCTTCTACACCATTTTTTCCATCAAAGCTTG